GCGTAATACATTTTAACGGGATAGTGTTAAGGTGCTCGTGTCGCAAAAATTGTGGCGTCGTTGGCGTTACGAAAAAATCTCGGATGCAAAAATCCTGATTGGTCGATAGTTTATGACGTCACAGCCACATGACCTCGAGCGGGATTTCCAAACAACCCACAACGCTCATGTGAAACGTGACGTCACTCGTGAATTGAAAATGATTCAATACATATGTAATTTTTTTTCGGATACCTGCAGTACTATGACTTTAAAAAATGGGACAAAAACGAAAGAAAACAACAGTATTACACCAAAAAGTACTGGCAAATGGAAACCGAAGAACTACATGCAAATATGTGCATACGCAAAAACGTGACACGCACGCGTACTCGTCGCACATATCTCGAATGATGTCACTTTATGAAGTATATCATTTCCCTTAGAGAAACATTTTAAGAATTTTAAGCGTGATTCGAACACTTGAGTGTGCATCGTGTGTTCGACTCTTCGGTTGCGAGCAACCCATGCTACTGACTAGTACTCGCAAGGTGCTTTTTGTGTTTTTATTGCAACACAAACAACACATGTCAAATTCTATTTAAAAATGCGCTGCAAAACTTTCGCAGGGCACGTTAAAAGGATCTCATTTCCAAAAGCGCTTTTACAAAGTCCTAGCCGTTCGGGCTTAGGCTCGCGCGTGGAAAGAGCACTCTCGACCTGCTTCATAAGAGAGAAGAAATAGAAGCGAACTTTATTGGCAGTGGGGTCGGTACGCCTTACTGCGATGTGTGAGCGCCAACTACTACAAAAACCTAAAAGAAAAAAAAAACATATCAAATGGCACGCAGTCATCGTTCAGGACTTTTAAATAACGAATGCCAGACGGGGTGATGCACACCTCTTTCTTTAGCGTGCGCGAGAGCACGTCCCAGACAAATACGGCATCTATGCAAAAAAAGAATAGATGCACAATAGTCTCAGGTTGCATGCATAAAAAAACAATCAACAGTCCACGGCACATCAAGGCGCGCTTGCACGCTTGCAGGCAAGGCACGCTTTCACGGTTTGAAAACGAGCGGGAGGTTAAATGTTTATATGCTTTGCTATCACGCTCCACTCTAAGAGGTTAAGCTTAAGCGTCCTTTAAGTTGTTTTCCCAACGGATAATGAAAGAAAAGAGAGAACAATGTTCGTGTTTACACAACTAGAAGACAGCAAGGATGACAGACAAGTTAAAGGTGCAGCCACCTGATTATCATTTACAATCTAAGTCTCGGTGAGCAAATCACGATGCATGCAGTAATCAGCTTTCGTCAAATTGAGACGTTATATCCTTGATGTTTAATACTGCTCGCCGAAAATAAATAAGCCACCGCGTTCTCTTGTGAAGGCTGAGAAGAACTGGTAAAATAACTTTGTCCAAAAAGTTGGTTGCCAGAATCTAACCTGAATACAGTTGAAAAAAATCCTGACATCGATCGACTGGCGTTTATGCTCATAGCCACTGCGTCTGATACTGAACAATACAATGGAGAACAATAGAATCCAATATTTTTCAACACAATTGGTGCGTGTCATATTCGACTATTTAGGAAAGTTCCTGGCGTTTTTGGAATGTTTCTTACGTATTTAGTAAAACGTACGGTTTGTATTTTTTTTTCACCGAAGGGCGACTTTACAACTATATCTGCCCATAGAAGGGCCTTTACACTGCCAGTTTACAATAGATCTGGAAATATTATGGCGATGCATTACCTTAATATGTGCTCTCGTAACGAGATAATAGTCTTATACCTTAAACAAACGGTACTAGGACGAAAACGTTTGTACCCCTGGCTGACTTGCAGCAATGAGGCTTCACACAACAGAGAATGAGTGGTGAATCCAGAGGTCCTTTTTTTACATATAATTTTAAGTTATCCTGAAGCCTTCGAGGAGTCGGATGAAACTGCAATTTGAGAAGGCGTCAGTTTCTGAAGCGGGTTGAAAAGAAAAAATTCCCACAAGTGAAGGGCAAATATGCACTGATGTCGGGATCACTTTAATATTTGTCAGGATTCTTTATTTCCGTAGCAAAGTGGCATGCTGCCTCCTTGGCCTTTTCAAGTCATGTTTTACTTCTTCGTAACAAGGTGTAGGTGTAACAGCGCCTAAGATCGTAAACTATGGCACGGAACAAACAACACTGGAGGAGAGCTGAATCGCAACTAAATGTTCAATATTGAAAACATAAATCAGGAAAACATGAAAGGCACACACGATCATGCATGCGCCACCCAAACTGTTTCGTCATGAAGGGCTTCATCGATCACTACATCGCGGGCACCTCCCACAATTCATAGTAAAAAAACATTTCTTTCTTCGATAGTGCAACTTAGTCATCGTTTTTACGCGCTGTTACACCTACACCATAATAAACTTCCGCAAACTAGCCGAGCTCTTTACATTGCTGTTCGTAACTCCAGATTTTTCTTGAAATAAATTCGCTCGGGCGGTGTTGCATCCAAAGGGCCATCGGCCTTTGATAAAATTGACTTATATTAAGAAACGTCTTAGTAAAAAAACGTATACCTATGCAGCTATCAAGAGCTTGAAGTAATATGGTTTTCTAGTATATAAGATAGATGTTGACCACTGCAAGTATAGTTGTATATTTTGCAGGCCACACTATGAAAGCCTCCATCTTTTCTTGCCAGTCGGGGGCCCCTTTTGCAAGGAAGGCCCGGCTCATTTGAAACCTTTCAACATTGCATAATCAGGCCCTGCTTGCGATGTTGTGGCCAGTTAACTAACAACCCTATGGTCGTTAAATTTATTATGCAAAAATAGAATACGCTCTTTAGACCGCTAACGAAAAATCGCGGGCGATTACTTACCTCCAGTAAAATTCTTAGCAGCGAGACATAATTAATCATTATCTAAAGGACACATACATGTAGCTTAGCGTATCTTACCCATTACTTAGAAGGCAACGCTGGAACGCCTTTCCCACTCCTGTTAATACCATAAAAACACAAATCGTCTATGGGTGTGCTCTATCTTTAAGAACAGAGTCTAAAACGCCCTCTTCCCTATTCCTGCAACCCTTCAACCCCTCTCCGGGGAGAGTGACTCGCTACCATAACGGTGCTGGACGAAGCTTACTGGGCGGCGCTGGCTGACCACGTGGAGAACATCCTCAGGAATGTCTGGTAACCGTTTAGGAAGGACCTAGCGACCTTGGCGACGGTTACAGAAGCGCTGAAAATGTTTTTTAATAAACGCAAGTCTTACCATAGTCGCATAAAGAACAGCCAAGTACTAAAGGATGAACATGATTTCACGCAGTCACGTGAGGTTGTTCATTTTATTTTTTTATTGAACGTTTTAGGGGTTTATACAACGTAAGGTCGGTCTGCCGGTAGGGGCGACACTGGTTTACGCTGTAGATGAGCAACTTCGCCAGTGCTGTACGACTGCTAACCTGGGGTCTTTAACGTGCTCACGCTGTAGTGATACACGACCGCACGCCGGTACCATCCTCATCCAGATGGAAACAGGCAGGGGTGGGCTCGAACCCAGGATCCCTCGGTTCTGCAGCGCGAGCTTTCGCTCCGCGCGCGTCGAGCTGGGTGTGCGCTTTAGCCCACGCGGCCACCGATCCCCATAGTCACATGAGGTGATCTTGAAACGATGCTTGGAACGCTGTGAATAGCACAGCACTTTTGAACCAACGCAGGTTTCACAACCAAATTGTCTTTTTTCAGGTAGGTTTGGCCAACCCGCAAATTTCATAAGATTCACATTGATTTTCCGTACCGCTATTACCAGTAATTTTTTATTCCTGTAGCTGCGTGCTCAAACTGGGTAGAAGTGTTTGTCAAAAGTGTTGTTACTGCAAAGGTTAGAAACCAGAATGCGCGAAGTGCTTTTGCCGCGTCTTGACTAGAAATGTGGTAGTAACAAGCAACGGAACTTTGCTGCCATACATTTGTAGCAGCAGAGTTTGCAGACTCCCAAGGAAGGCAGTCGACGACCAGAGAGGGGTGTACAAATATCAATGCAAGATCGGGTCAACCAGTTTCTCTGTGCATTCCTAAACGCCTCAAAAGAAATAAACACATTCGAATCCAGGCGATATGATTCTTCAGTGAAAGCCTATGACAAGCCTCAGCGTCCTACATTCAGGCATTGAGGGACCGATAATTGATAGTCAACAATAAGCTAAGATTAGCGCCGACCAGAAACAAAAATATTATTTGCGAACTTTTGAAGCAGGCAATCAAGTTCTCGTCCGGGTATCACGCCCCACCACTACAGCATGGTTGTCGGGTGATGTGTTATTCAACCTGAGTGCATAAGCCTCAATTATAAGGGAGAGAAATAAGTTCTTTTTTTTGCAAGCCGATGACGTTCATTCGTAAAACTGTTTTTTTTTGCTCAACAGAGCAGGTTTCTAAACGACCTTCAGTGAGAAGTTGTCACCGTGCAAAGGGATGGAATTTCAAGTAATTTCAAATCACTAGCTGTAGCTCGAAGAACGACGCCCTTGATCTAACAATATTGTAGCCGATATTCCAGACAAAGGCATGACCGAAGGAGAAACGTAGCATAAAAGGTCCTCACCTGAGACTGAACGCCGGACATAACTGTGCTTCGACGCTGAATGCGCAGATGAGGACCTCCGAGCAGCTACTCCCTTGGGAGCATGCAAATACTGTGACAGGAAGGAGTGCTGTGTTTGAGTCTCGGGTTCAACGCTACTGTGGTATTGTTGAGATGAAGTTTGTGGCTGTTATGAATCACGTCCGACGGCAGGCAAAGCGTTCTCGCGTTCAGCCGGTGGTTGTTCCAAAATCTTCTGGAATGGAAAAACAGGAACGTAAAACTTTAGCTTGCTACAGTAAAACAAATATAGTAAATATAACAAGTTGAACCGTGCGGCTGATGTTGTTCATTATGATTGTTCGAGCAATTTATCATGAAGACTGTGGTCCCAAACAAGTTGCAAAGAACTGCAGAAGACGTTTTCGGTGTAGGTTTGGATAAGCTTGTATTCATGCCCTCAAATAAGTGATTACAGTCCCCAGAGGGTACATCTCTCTTCGCAGAGAGATATACTCTGCGAAGAGTATATATTCGCAGTACTGCGTTTTATTTAAATGTGTAGCGTACTCTTGTCACGTCCTGGAATTTCTTAGAAGTGACTCTTTTCAAAACATAAGGGCCCTTCCATGGATATACAATGAAATTCTCGGGACCCCACGGATCTCTTCTTAAACCATAACATTATTACTGTCTAACAGCGTTATAAATTGAGAGTATCTATATTTATTTACAAAGTGAAAACAACAAAAAAAAAAGACTCAGTGTAGCACGTTTTGAAATGCTCCATTGAAAAGACCATTCACCATGCATCAAAAATACTATTAAAGTTTAAAAAATGTGGCGGCCATTCTTTGTAGATTTTTAAAGGTAGAATAAGGCCGCACATTGAAGAACCTGAGATATGAATTTCATTCTTTCAGGTCCATGTTCTGTCTTCTGTTTTTTTCGACTTTATTTTGTACAATAGTTAAATCGTCCCATTTTAGGTTGAAATAATGTTCAAAATTTTCTGCTTTGTATCTTTATGGTCAAGTATATGGTACTAATATAATAATTCAAGTGCATCATCTACTAATAGTAATGTGCGCTGAAAAGTTTGTAGCGAAGTAAAGGGGCATGAAGCCCTGTCAGGTGACTTAGACCACATCTTGATCCTGTCTCCCAGTCAGGAGTGTGTAAAAACATTAATTATTTCATTCATTATTTATTTGAGCTAACATTTGAAATACATGCATTGAAACATTTTAACATTATATATCTTTGCAATACACATTGTGTCTTTGTTCTTGTTAACTGCGCCTTTGGTTGTGCTTAAAAGTTCACCACACAAAGTGCTTCCACAGACATTTCTGATTTTAGGACACCTCCAAGTATTACATGTCCGCTCTCTTTACACAGAGAGCGGAGACTATTGGTACCTAGATTCCTTGGCCAACTTTCTATAAAGGCAGGTTTCACGCGTAACTGACTTTTTGCGAAAATATCTTGTTACAAAATTTAGTTGTAAAAACACAACAAAAATGTATGTTGCTTTTGAATTTTTTAGGCATTGCGAAAGGTCCCAATGGTTGACCTGAATTTCCAATAGAAGTGTATTAATTTGGAACATCAAAGAAAGCTGATAACATGTGCTGCAGAGTCCTAATATTCCTTAAAGCTATTCTCAATATGGAAATAAGTGTGGGGGCATTTTGAGAGTGTTTTGTATTTCGAACGGACACTTAATTGTCCGCTTTCCTGGAATTCTCTGAGTGCAACCAATTTCGCGCTTTAGGCGACTAGGTCGGAAAATGTCAAAGTACTGAAAACACCCGCATGTCCCGATTATCTTCGGTTTCACGATTACTTAGCGAACTGTGGAGGCTGCTTTTCCCGAAACCAAATAACCGCGTCGGACAAAAGCACGTGGCCAGTCAATAGTAAACTAAAACGCTCGCTTGTCGTAATGTCAGGCGCTTTGCTCCGACTCTTTTACTGTGTCGCGGGTGCCGTAGCCTCCACAGTTCACCTAGTTATCGTGAAGCGGAGTATATTTCGGCAGCGCGTCCTTGCTGAGTGCGCTGATACGCAAAAGACAACTTTACCTAAACTACTAGGTCACTGTTACAAGCGTCAGTGCGGGCAGAGCTTGGTGCGCTTCTTCGGCGCTCATTTCCTTTTTAAATGGGCAATAAATTACGAAAACTGATCAGTTAATATCTACAAAAACAGTACAATTTCGCAATTTGTTTTTGTAAATTAGTTTGTCCTGTATTAATAATGACTATGAACACTGCAATTCCAATGTGGCCCCTAAAACAGGCAATAAAAATGTTAATTAACACATTCTTGTTAATTATACAAATTAGCATATCGATTGTCCCTTGTTTAATGTCGTCCCAGTCTGATGAATACATGGAAAAGACGGCGCTCTTCAAACTCACGAATTCTTAAACAAAAAAAAAACAGTTCGAAATAAATCAAACAACCTGCATATAAATGTACCGAAAGAAATTGTTGTCTTCTTGTTTTTTAATTTAAATTGGGGAATTCCTTTATGAACAACGTTCAGTTTCTACGTCCCAACGTTTTAGGAACTACATATACAAATAACCGACCAAGTATGAAAGTGGGTGTCCACTTTGTCAGCGACATGACGTTTCTGGCTTCGAGGATGCAAGAGCCTGCTCCAGAGTCTTCCGTTTTAAGATATCTAAACGTGATGTTGCACACGGTATGTACCATCTTATATTTTTAATCAGCAACTTGGATGGCGCAGTCCCACTTAAAGATTAAAGTGCCAACATTGGCAGAAACATGGCAGAAATAATCAAGAGCGCCACTTTGGGAACCAGCATCTAAAAATCTTAACTGAAGCCCTAAAGTTATTACAAAGACGTGAAGCAAATTCTCCAACAATATACACAATTAAGGCAACCCTCTGCATTCGTCCAAGCGCGAGAGATGTGCTAATATTAAATTCTGCGATTTTCTTTTTATCGGGAGATAACCTCAATGACAAATAATTTAGCCACCGAAGAGGTTTCGTCGTAAGTTGATGTAAACAGATTGATATAAAGAGTTATAATGTACTACATGTGATAGTGAGCTAGAAAAAAAAATAAAAAACCTAGAATCAGGGGCGGACATATCTAAAGGCAAAGCAAGCAGCTGCCAAGGGTAAGGCAAGTTTGGGGGCGGCAAAGTTCGGAGGCCGGTTAGATTAACGCCGACCCTTTCCAACCATTGTCAACCTAGAGCTTCCCTTGAAAGAGGATGTCATTACAGATATTGATCACGTAACGCCGCATTTCGGAATTCAGAATTGATGTGAGCTTTACAGATATCTTTCAGTCAGCGTCAAAGTACAATCTGGCTTTCAATAACATAACTGAACAGACTGATAACCGTACTTCCAGTTTGAAATAAGTTGTATAGAATTTGTGCCCGGGCGAATTCAAAATACACCTGGGAATCTTCACTTAATATTCACTCTGGACTCCGACCGCAGTCTCGTATTCGACATAACTAAAATTGTCCAGGTGCTTTTAAAAACTGCTTTGAACGGTAAAATTCTATGTCTGACTCGAACTAGAATCGTGGCGTCTGTTCAATGGGATATTTATTGAGCGAGTTGGGTGTGTTTAAAAGGTGTGGCGTTGTTATTGTCTTAAATAGGATGTCAAAAGGTTGCTTTAAAAAAAACGAGAACTTTCGAGTTATTAAGAGAAGGGCAGAACTAGTCGACTTTTCCGGTTCCCTTTAACCTTCCATCCTCACTTTTTAGCACAATGATCAAGTTTTTCTGATGATAGGCCAGTAAATAACTCATTCCTCGGATGAGGCTATTTTTTTATTAACATTATGCCACATCGTGCTCCTGTTATTTATAAATAGTGCCTCCGCTAATTGCAATTAATCTTCAGAGAAGGGAATACACACAGCATGTGAAAACATGTTTTAGTTCATGTTATTCCGAAATGTTTATTAATGGAAATTTTCTCTTATGAGCTTTAGACAAAAAAATCTTGGCTCATCGCTGGGCACGGGTGGCAAGAACAAATATTAAAGTATGTCATAGTCTAAAGCATTGCTTTGTAAATTTAGTACGGGCGGTGACAGTAAGAACCAGCGCTTTTGGTACACCTTGGAAAATTCAAACTCCATACGCGCATACCTATGATTGGGCTCGCGAACCTCGTGCTAAACTCAGAGGTGGTGAGATTTAAAATGCGAGCAAGATCGGCGACCGTAGATTTCTTATGTTCTATGCTGACCCGTTCGACGTAGGCACACTGGTTTGCGAGCCCTCTCACAGGCGGTGTGCTGAAAGCAAAAAGCAAAATCGTTGGCAAGTAAGTTGTCGAGGCATTCACCATGAACACTGTTAACAATCATGGGTCCACGTTTTTTTTTGTATTTCAAAAGAAGAGCTAACCTACTCGATTCAGGAATCCGCGTAGATTATAAAAGCTCCCCACCCCATCCAAATATTGACATGCTCATGCTCTTACTTTACATTTAATCTTATTTCCTTCTTTATAATTTTATCCTTACACTTCGTTTTCTCCCTTTTTTTGAGGGTCCCTAATTGCAGGAAATGCTTTTAAGCCAATTCATGTCGTTGCTGAATGAAAGCAATGTTCGTCTTCCTTCGTCCCGAGTTTGTATTTTACTTTCTGTGGTCAGTCAATTTTACTAACATGCTCTTTGTAATTAATTTAGTTTCCAGATTTAGAAAGACAAATCTTATATGAGATTGAAAATCATAATGAAAGAGACGTCAACGAAACGACAACAATTAGCGCAACCCTGGATTTAAGCTCTATTTAATCTAATTATGCAACTTTATACTTTCATACCAAGACGCCTATATTATCAATATTAAATTTCTAAACAATTTCGCAAAGTTCAAATTAGTCAATCAAAATTACAGCATCCTAAGGGTGGCTGCCATTAAACACCAGCCTGAGACACTACTCTCTGTGAACAATACTAAATCTGTGTTGAATCTTTGCAGGCGGAATTGTATTTCAGGGAACTTGACTGCCCCGAGATAGAACTCTACCTTGTCGGCCTGTACAATACGACAGTATGTGGTTTCTGTTTTAAGCGACATTCAAATAGATTTCAAAATGTACTTTCTTGCATTTTTTTAACTGACCAGTTACCATCGCCCGCAATATGAGCTGAAACTATCATTTAATGTTTCTTTGGTTTACCTGCCAGTTTTTGAGAGCTGTGCTTAGAACTAGGCACTGAATGCGAAGATGAATTCCTATACTTCGGGCTATAAGACATATCAAGAAACTATTGAGCTTTTGGGGATCGCAGCCGCAGAAAAGGTCAGAACTGGGTGTTTCAGCTCATATAGCCCGCGGGGACGCGATAATTTAAATTAGCTCGCCAGTTTTCATACTTCATATTGATTTCCTGTTTTGTAAATACTGCACAGCTCTTAGCTCGATGTTAGCGCAAGGCAAGTCTAGCGGTTAACGTTATGACCAATAAAGATGAGCATGAACTAATAAACAAAATGTACTGAATTCCCACAGTCGCGACCGACGTTTTGGCAGGATACATTACTTGTTTAGGAAGGATACAAAACTTGAAAGTATAAAACAGAGAGGACGAGGACGGGAACAGGACATCTTTCATTTAGCAACAACATAGAATGGCACAACAATAAAACAGCCCCCCAAGGGTCTCAACGTACTCAGAGAGGGAAAGGAGATACTAGTTATAAAGGAGGGGGAATACACTAAAAGAAAAGTTTGAAAAGCGCATCAGTAATCTAGTTATTTTCGATTACTTAGAATTAACCTTGGTCATTGTCAGTGATAATGCGGAATTATTCTTGTTTGCAGTCCAAAAAGGGAATTGTACTATAAATATAAAAGTTTAAAAAGCTGTAGCGTCACGACGAGGTGTAAATATTCTAGTCATCCCTGGTGTTAAGAATTCGACGTCTGTCTTTGTCAATGATAATGACGGTGCAGAAATGTTGTTGTTAACAGTCCCCATGGCAAATGACTCGATGATTTCTCTTCCAAATCTGTTATTGTGCCCGCCCAGTATATTAGTATTAGAAAAATGAGGTGTACAGTCATCGCATGTGCGGCTGTGAACGACAATGGGGTGATACGACTCAGTTGAAGCCTTTGATGCTTCCAAGTTATGTTCTCTGAGTCGGTGGTTGACGCATCTCCCAGTCTGTCCAATGTACTGACTGCCACAGCTTAGTGGAATCATATAAACCTTCCTTTCTTCGCATTCTACGAACTTTTTTGCATGTTTTACATTGCACCCTCGGGGACTGTCGCTCCCATTAACCTTTTTGCACATCTGTTTGAGGCGCATACGACAAGAAAAAACCACACTCGTGTCAAACTTGGACGCGATAGACCTTAAACGGTGCGCGGAATGGTGCATGTAGGGAACCACAGCGAAACGACCTTTCTTTTTTGAAACAACTTGCGGAAGTTGTGGTTTGATAATGAACCTCTCAAGGGTGGAGCGAAGTAGGTCAGCAGGAAAGCCTGCTTTTTCTAACCTCTGCTGCTGCAACTTAAGGCTACTTTCCGAGAAATGCTTGCACGACTTGGAGAATGAGGACTTGAAAAGTGACCTTACTATTCCATGCTTAACGGACTTGGAGTGAGCACTGGTGAAAGGGAGGACTGGCTTCTCCGACCTCTGCTGGAAGGCCCAACAAACACCTGAGGAATGAGGATGCAATCGTAAATCCAGAAATTGTAATCCTTCCACTGAAGGATTTTCCCGGGTAAAAGTAAGCCCTGCCGCACAGCCTTTGAAAACTTCAAAGATGCTGTCAGCGGACGCAGCATCTGGATAAATGACCAAGTAATCGTCAACATACCTAAAAACTAGGCAACCCTGGAAGGACTTTTTCAACTGATCGTTGATAGCCCTGTCAACAAAGAGAAGAAATATTTCACTAAGGACAGGTGCAAGGCGAGAGCCTATACAAACTCCCTTCTTTTGTCTGTAAATATTTCCTGTCCTTAGTGAAATATTTCTTCTCTTTGTTGACAGGGCTATCAACGATCAGTTGAAAAAGTCCTTCCAGGGTTGCCTAGTTTTTAGGTATGTTGACGATTACTTGGTCATTTATCCAGATGCTGCGTCCGCTGACAGCATCTTTGAAGTTTTCAAAGGCTGTGCGGCAGGGCTTACTTTTACCCGGGAAAATCCTTCAGTGGAAGGATTACAATTTCTGGATTTACGATTGCATCCTCATTCCTCAGGTGTTTGTTGGGCCTTCCAGCAGAGGTCGGAGAAGCGAGTCCTCCCTTTCACCAGTGCTCACTCCAAGTCCGTTAAGCATGGAATAGTAAGGTCACTTTTCAAGTCTTCATTCTCCAAGTCGTGCAAGCATTTCTCGGAAAGTAGCCTTAAGTTGCAGCAGCAGAGGTTAGAAAAAGCGGGCTTTCCTGCTGACCTACTTCGCTCCACCCTTGAGAGGTTCATTATCAAACCACTACTTCCGCAAGTTGTTTCAAAAAAGAAAGGTCGTTTCGCTGTGGTTCCCTACATGCACAATTCCGCGCACCGTTTAAGGTCTATCGCGTCCAAGTTTGACACGAGTGTGGTTTTTTCTTGTCGTATGCGCCTCAAACAGATGTGCAAAAAGGTTAATGGGAGCGACAGTCCCCGAGGGTGCAATGTAAAACATGCAAAAAAGTTCGTAGAATGCGAAGAAAGGAAGGTTTATTCGATTCCACTAAGCTGTGGCAGTCAGTACATTGGACAGACTGGGAGATGCGTCAACCACCGACTCAGAGAACATAACTTGGAAGCATCAAAGGCTTCAACTGAGTCGTATCACCCCACTGTCGTTCACAGCCGCACATGCGATGACTGTACACCTCATTTTTCTAATACTAAAACCCTGGGCGGGCACAATAACAGATTTGGAAGAGAAATCATCGAGTCATTTGCCATGGGGACTGTTAACAACAACATTTCTGCACCGTCATTATCATTGACAAAGACAGAGGTCGAATTCTTAACACCAGAGATGACTAGAATATTGACACCTCGTCCTGACGCTACAGCTTTTTAAACTTTTATATTTATAGTACAATTCCCTTTTTGGACTGCAAACAAGAATAATTCCGCATTATCACTGACAATGACCAAGGTTAATTCGAAGTAATCGAAAATAACTAGATTACTGATGCGCTTTTCAAACTTTTCTTTTAGTGTATTCCCCTTCCTTTATAACTAGTATCTCCTTTCCCTCTTTGAGTACGTTGAGACCCTTGGGGGGCGGTTTTATCGTTGTGCCATTCTATGTTGTTGCTAAATGAAAGATGTCCTATTCCCGTCCTCGTCCTCTCTGTTTTATACTTTCAAGTTTTGTATCCTTCCTAAACAAGTAATGTATCCTGCCAAAACGTCGGTCGCGACTGTGGGCATTCATATGGGTGTTAATTATGGGTGTTAATTACCTTCGACGTGCAGTCTGTTCTTTGACATGGTAATTCTGGCAAGCAGTTGTTCACTTCAGAAAATGAGAAAAAAAAGTTGAGGAACCTAAGTGAAAAATTTCAAATAAATTCGAGTGAAAGAGTTATTTGCGGAACGGTTACGCCGCTAGACGGAATTTAGGGGAAGCTAGCCCGGCTGAAGGACCCGCCCAATACTGAAAGTGGAGTAGCTTGCTACTCAATGTTTCTTCGCTCTCATTCTCTGGAGAGACGATTGACTCCTGGAATGTTCGCCGTAAAATTATTTCTCTGTGTGGTGGACACGTTTGTTTGAAGGTATTTTTATGATTGAGTAACCAAAAATATAGATAGAGACTTTATTGTTTTCAAAAATATCACGACAGCACCTTCTCCGCTTCGGTTGTATACGATAACAATCATGGCTTCCGGCGTTGGCGGCGAGCAATTTTATACAGTGGGCAAATTATTGGGTTCGTCGATTCTTATGAGCGCAGGTTGTTTTCGTGTTCACTGAGATGTTAAGAAACTATCGGCCGACGTAGTTTGCAGCAAACAACTGTCGCACTACGCGTTTAGGAAGCGCTCTGATATTGCTCCTTTTCATAGCGAGACTGGCGTAAGCTCAGCGACTCACTCTAAATATTTTGCTCCATCTGGAATGATTCGTTCGTTCGCGTGTTTTGAAGCTGAAGAAAGGTGCCGGTTCTCGTAAAATCGGTCGCACTAGTCTGATAATCGAAAAAAAAAAAAAAAAAAACGTTGTGATTGAGATTATGGTTTGAGAACTTAGAGGTGAGCTACGAAGGAAAGGATTTGAAAGTCATTTGGTTGGAAGCAAATGAGTGTTCGCCTTGCTTCAGGAATTTCCTGGTACGTTTCTATAATTTCGCTTCAGAAGACCTATAGCTCTTTAGTTCCGAAAAATGCACACGGTTTGCTTGTGGGAATATTTGAGTTTATCTCTAAATATACCGATCTCACAAAGCGTTCGGCAAATGCGTGAAGCCGCCATAACGTCAGTTCACAGGAGACAGGTGGGAGTTCCCGAGACATCTCCTGCTCTGCGCGTGCAGAGCTATAGAGAGGTTGTGGCACCTGCAGAAAGAGTGGTTCCCTCGAAACATCGCGGCTGCAGTAGCGTACACAAACTGACTGGTAAAATCGGTCTTTTGCTCGCCCTAACTTTCACCCACCTTGCTCACGGACGCTGTTCACGGAAACAACAATCACAACGCAGTAGAAATGACCGCATATTTATTTTGCCGATTGACTTTATAGCACAGCTCTTAAGGCCGGTTCTCACATGCAGCGATGTGCTAATGAAGCGCTGTTCACGTGTTGTGAGCTACTTATCGTCTGCCGTCAGCAACAGTTTTGACGGTCCCTTACAAAGCTGGTGAAGGCTCCCGTCAGCACGCGCTTAGCGCGAGATCAGCGCTATGCTTGTAGTGCTCCGCTGCATGTGTGAACAGGCCTTTAGGCGCCCGTGTCCAGGTTGAGCGGCGTCACCTTCTGCGTAACTGCGCTCACTGCATTGCGGGACATCACGATTTTTGCGATAAATGTAGCGCGAAAACTTAACTCGCTAAGCTTAGCGGGAAAATTTTCCCGCTACATT